GAATAAAATAAATATTTAATTGGCGTTTTCGAACCTTGTACAGTACGATTCGGAGACAAAATGTTGAAAATTCCAAATTTCGAAAAAATGAGTTTCTTAAATCCACTGAAATGAGCGCACAAAATCCCAAAAATCAATTTGCAAATCTTTCGATTCTCGAAAACTACAGTTGGAATTTTTAGAGAATTACTACAGGCTACAGTCGACCTCCTTTCAAAATTTCCTGTTTGGGTTTTTAAAATTTTTTGTATGGCCAAAAACGCCTAAGGGCGTAATAGCGCTTGATTTTCATAGTTCTGAGTAAAATTTAACGGCTTTGCAAGTCGGAAAGCTATCTAGACGTTTAAGAATTTGCAATGCACGAAACAATAATCCCTCATAATGCGCGAAACCCTATGATTTAAGAAATAATTTCCAAAATCCCCACAATTCGAAAAAAGTACGGCTTTTGTGACTTCCTGTATCCTCCACGTAAGCCGCAGGCATGGTCTTTGTACCGTTTGTTTACCTAATTCTCGATTTCAATCCCTTTGCCGTGTCCGCCGAGTCTCCAATTGGCGACGAGAGGATCGGATGACCGGACGCCGTTTAAAAGACCAAGGACTTTTCCGCATCCGCTGGAAGTTTTGCCGGTGGAACGATTTGCCGTACTAAATGCCAGCTTTTCCACGACTCTTTGTGCTGTTCTGGTTGCCGATGGTCGTTTTCTGTACTGAAGATGTGGCCACTGAAAGTTTTGATGTTGGGACGCTCGACTTTAAGCCGGAATTTTTGGAGGAGATTCGGGTAGGCTGTAAAAATTCACACGGGTCTTGTTCTAACCTCACGAAATTCTTTTCCACGAGAACTTTTAGCTCCCAGAAATTGATGCCGTAATGGCTTAAAGGCCGAAGGTGCTGTTCAGCTAACAGAACTAAAAATAATTGAAATTTCTAATAAACCCTAAAATTAAAAATTCCTTTTCCAGAAATCTAAAATGACCCTCGACGTCTCAACCCGGGCTAAACGCCAAATGTGCTCCGGCTGCTCGTCGTGCTCCGGAAATGCTTGCGGATCGTGCTGTGAGTAAAATTACGAAGAATAGCAAACCTCTACGTAACGTAGAGTCATCTAAAACTGTAGGTACGTAAGTAACACCAGCGGCAATGGTATTTATTGCATACCCTAATTGCGATTAGCGCAAATATGCAAAAATTTATATACGTTGCACGGTTACGTAAGAAAATCGTCGTCTTTAGGCAAGCAATGCAGCTACCCAGGGCCTTGTGGATGTCAGCCTTGCAATAATTCTGTAAGTAATGTTACAGTAATTTCCTAAATATGCAAATAAGATGTATTAGGTCACCCTAAATTCATTCGCTACACTATTCGCTACCATCAATACCTAAAATGAAGACAAAGATAGATGATACTTTAGGAACCTCGACCATGCGTTAACTGCGGATTAGCCAGAGGCCAAAATCGCTGTTGTTCCTGCTGTAGGCCGGCTTGTCGACCTGGGTGTATGTTTAGAGGAGGTATCGTCCTTGATTCGTCAAAATTATGTACCATTCTTTACCATTACACATTACATATACCAATTTGTCATTATCATATCTTTTCGTTTTCAGGCTGCAACTCGTGCAGCAGTTTCCGCTACCGATCCGTCGACTACTACGACTACGGGTCGTTTTATGGCGGTGGCGGCTTCGCTCAATATGGATAAAAAACCATGGAAGTATTACTACGACTGTAGGTGTCAATAAAAGCTCAATCCTAAAAACCAAAATAAGCACAATTCACACAGCAACCCTCCATCAAACTTCGCAAAATTGGCACAGATCAAACGAGACACAGCCCGCATCAATCTGTACGGAATGATTATTTTGGCCGACTGCGGCGTGTGATAGTGACGAGTTTCCTTGGCCAGGCCATTCTTATAAAGCGGCTTCATCTTTGAGAATTTTTGTGGTTGAAGCCTAGCTATTACAACTTAAAGGATGTGGATTGAACTTGCGGTGATTTTTGCGGCTTTTGGTAGTGAGTTTTTTGTTTGGAAAGCTCTAAAAGCTTATAAATCTTGGTTATTTTGTTAGTTTTTTCACCTTTTTCACCCCTGAATTCTGCACGCTAGACGCTCTAGCTTTTAGAACTCTTTTTCATTATATCAACTTTGAATTTTTGCGAATCAGCAGAAATTAGCCGCGGGCACGTCTATTTTCCTACCAAAACGGACGATCTTTACTCTCGTTGCGTAAAATTAAAATGCAACGTTTTTGGAAAAAGCTGTTTTTCCCGAACTTTTGACCCATCCGGCTTAACGTCTCGAAAGCCCTAATCGCAAAATTTTGTAGAATCCGGAATATCGGAGCGGTAAAAGCGTAGATGCCCTACGCAATTCAAAACACGCAAAATACCGCGGCGCCTGATAAGCTAAATTACCCAATTTGATCGCCACCGTCTTATGTGAATTTTATGGTAAACAGAGTGTAGCGTCTAAAAATGGAATTGCAATAACTTGTCGCCGTCGTCACTTGGGAAAAACCGAAAAATTCGAATTAAAATGTTCTTGTTGTTTAGTGAGTTCTGCCTCGGCGAATTGCGCATGCTCGGGAAACTTCACCGTGTACAAGCCGACGTATAGTATCACGGCGGCTGAGGACCCGACGCAGATGTACGACCATTTTGCGCCGTGCTATCCCGATGGTGGTGTCTGCTACAGTATCATTAACCCGAGCGTTCAGGGTTATGGAGTTGGGGTGAGAATTGGAAAGGTCGATCCCTGAAAAATTGGCTTAAAAATACAGAACCCTGAAAAACAGCGCATTGATACTTTTGTATACCTGGCTAAAGTTCTCAGCAGTAGAAACACAAAATTAACGCGTATAACGTACTCTGTCGTACCACGTCAAACTTTAATCTTTTAGTGGATCATCATCGACAACTTCATCGTCCCAGACGGCTATAACTTTACCGTCACTATCACTGATGGAAGCGTCACGAAATTTGTGTAATTAAATCGACGACTTAAGCTTGCAAAGAATCGACGCTTATTTTTAGGCTGACCAAAGACAACATCAGGCTGTACAGAGGCCTCTTGGCGAACTGGACCAGCACAAATGGATACATCACGATTTTCCAAGACTATGGGCAGAATGCGGGCAATAGCAAAGGTATGAAAGCGCAAGCTCGGAACTATTAAAGTCCTTTTTAGTTGACTTCACCTTTGACGCACATCCGATGAAAAATCGCTGATAATAATCAGATTTCAGCTTCGAAATAAATCGAATGAAAAATTTGAGGCATGGCCCCAAGATAACACAGAGAATGCCTCGTCTCAACACAGTAACCACGTGAGCACCGAGCAAGATGACAAAATTCGGCAAGTCTGTTGCCGTTTTGCACACAGCGCTTGCATTTGCGGGGGCGATTGGGTGATAATGACAGGTTCTTGATCCAAATATAAGGAATTGCAATTGTTGCGTTGACAGGAATTCTGATTGTTCGTTTATACCGGCGCTATGTGATTGGAACTCCTCGTGTTGGCCGTTGCTGGCGGTAATTATCCCCATCTTGTTCCATTAAAAATTTTAATTACTGTTTCGCGATCCTGAATATGATTTCGGTTGCTTACTAGCGCTTTATCATATTTCTTAAATTTTGGAAACATTGTCTTGGCGACTCTTGGCAACTTCTCAAAGCCGAAAGCCTTGATACTCCAACCAAAAGCCAAATTGCTGATTTTCCAGTTCAGATATTTTGGTTAGATCGAAAGCTCTCGCCTTTATCTTATTTCTGGTAATTGAAGGGGTAAATGTACCATCAGGTCGCGTCACAAGCCACCAAAAAAGTAAAAGACTCGCGGCAGATAAGCAACATTAGAAGGTCGAAGAGTTTTGCGTTTTGCCGGTAAACAAGTCGATATGGAACATAGCCTACAAAAATTTTGTTACGTCAAGATGCTCTAAATACACGGCCAGTAAAAACCGTCTCGGCCAGCTGTGCTTGCTCTCAAAACTTGACCACCTATCGGGGGAGCTACGGCTTCACTGGAGCTCAAGATCCCACCCAGTCAGGATTCGCGCCATGCTACCCGAATGGTGGAATTGGCGCGACTCTGGTTACCCCTAGCATGGCCCGTTACGGTGTTGGGGTGTGTAAACTAGAAACTATGAAAATCTGGAAATTATACAGAAGCTTAACATCGACTTCACGGTCCGGACGGCTTCAATGACGTTTCATTGACGGCGCGTAACTCAATTTGTGTAGGGATTTGGCCTTAAAAGAAATCAAAAAAATTCCTGTTTAACCTGACCAAGGGCAGTTTGGGGCTCTACAAGTCTTGGGTCAGCTCCTCGGAGTTCATCACCATAGTTCAGGACGACGGTGGAAAATCAGGGAAATACGAAGAGTTTAGTTTAGTGTCTATTTAGCTACAAGGATTTTTCAGTCGACTTCACCTTCTTCGCATACCCACTCGATGCCGCTATGATGATTTCACCGAAGCTCGGAATAAATAGTCACAAACGTCACGTTCTTTGAATGAATAATGGCGAAGTGAAAAATACAAATTAAAGCACAAATACATCAATTAATTAAATACTACGCCCGATTTTCTGGTGCCCTTCCTTTCTTCTTTTCAATCGATGCCTTTCCGGAAAAGACTGTCGGTGTCAAAATCACTGGAATTTTGTTTCCTATCGCTGACCTCAACGCCCATAGCAAACACTTCCTCTCCCTCAGCTTCTGGAATTACCTTCATGCGGTATGCGTACCCGGATCGGCTCCTTTATCTATCGATCGCCTGCATCGCTCCGTCGCAGATAATTTCTTTAGTGGCCCTCGTCAGTACGCCCCCAATCTCTAGTAATCGCCCATTGTTTCTCCATCCCACCCATTCCGGTCTCGCCTTCAGCAAAATTTGTCTGATAAGCCCAGCCAAGCTTTTTTGATTCTCGCCGCCTCCTAAATGTCCGCGGTTCCGATAGGCGATGGAGCCGGGGCTGGGGCCAACGCCCAGTTTTCACGTGGCGTTTCCTTGAATAAGGTTTACACGGAACGCAGACGTTGATTTTATTTCAATGTCCCGAACCCCCTTCCATACTTCAGGATCCAGTTAATTTATGTTTTCACAACTTTGTCTAATTTCACTACGCTTATACCACATATTCTTTAAGTTTAGCAAGGGCCATGATTATACGGGTGGCGGCGGCGGTGTTGGCATTGGGTAAGCAACTAAAAGTGATTTTGGTCTAGCTTTATGCAATTATTAAAATTTACCACAGTTCACTCGAAGTTCAACAATTAGACTAGATTGAATTAATGAAATGAATAACTGAAAGCCTTGAGCCGGCAGAGTACCACGGAAACACAATAACCGTTTTTAGCCACGACCGTCTACGGCGCCTGCAACTGCCCGACCAGCTCAAACAGATCATCGGGGACATATCAAATCCAGACACCGTTTGATCCGGATAATGGCTACATGGATTGCGTCCCAGCCGCCATGCAGTGTAATTATACAATCGGAACCGGAGACCCCGCGCGAGGAATTGGGGTAAGGCTTCTGCTTATGTTTTATCCCGAAAATCGTTTTTCCAATCGCATGATGATCAAATCAAGAAAATTTATTAATCAAAACCAACTCGGATTTATTTTATCGTTAGCCACACGATAGAAATTTATTTTGATGAACCACGTATTCTATGCCAACAAAATTCCAGCATTTCGGTGTCATCGAATTCACGGATCCGGACGGAGTGCTGACGATCAGCTTGCAAGATCCCGGCTACAAGACCTTTACGTAGTGATCCACATTGACAATATCTCAGCCTTTTGCAGACTCGATGTGAACAATTATGCCGGCCAAAATAGCAGCTTAAATGCCTATCAGCCGGCGACTGCTACCACCACGGTCACCATGGTATGGAGCAAGAACGCAACCACTGGTATGTTATTTATTCGTTCATGTTTGTTCATTCACGGGGGTAATTTTAACTACTGTGTGTTTGGCAAATTATTTTTCTCATTTCAGTCCATGCAGTAATCTATGGGTATCCTTTGCCCATCTCTCAGCCTGTAGTAACCACTGCAGTAAGCTTTTCTTTTTGAATTCCTTTTTGGTGGCCCTTACTTATCCCTTTATTTTTAGGCCACAGCCATGCCAACCCCAGTTACGGTCAGCGATGGGCCCAGCCCAGCAGGGTTGCTTGGAGTTGACCTGGCCATCGTCGTCGACCTAGCATCCAAGAATACCGATACCTTCAACAACGTATCTCCAAATTGCTTTGATGATCCCCTGCCCATTCTAGATGATAACGTTCATCAAAAGCGCTGTCGGAAGCTAACAATGTTGGATGACCCGGACGTGCCATACGGTGCTCGCCTCGTGCTGCAGACGATGACCCAGACGAACCGGCCCAATAATTTTGGAGATCCATGGTTGGTGCAAGCAGCTAACAAGGAGACGTTTTTTAGTGTCCACGGAGTTTCGAAATTGGACCAAGCCTATTTTATGCAGAATTTCGCGCTGACTAAAATCTCGTTTTCAGAATCTGCGAAACGACCAAAATAAGAAAGTTATGACGCTTTAAAGCGCGAAAAACAGCACAAATTGGCCATTTTGGGCATTTTTCACATTTTAAAGCTTCATAACTTTTGAAATATGATTGTTTCGTAGATTCTGAAAAGTACGTTTTGATCAGCGAAAAATTCTGCATAAAATAGGCTTAGTCCCATTTTAAAACTCCGTGGACACTAAAAAACGTCTCCTTGTAAGATTTGTTTACCTAATTGATCTAAACCGGATGCTGTATTCATTTTTGGTCGTTCTGACGCTAAAGCCCATCGCGCTGAGTCAAACAGTCATTCTGAAAAAACGCAGTAATTTGATCAGCATCAAGGCACCTTTTTTCAGGAACATGGACATCAAATACTTCAACGATCAAATCGGAGTCTTTCGTCCTACCGCGTCCCAATCAGTTTGGGAAGGGTAGGTGAACCGTAAGTTATATGCATACGGACCAATTCAGACCCCTTGCTGCCGCCTTAAGAGACAACAATGCGTTCTTTGGCAACACGTCGGTGAACTCAAAGACCCGGGCCAACGTCCAGCGCACTTATGCGATTTTCACGCAAGGCCCGTAAGTCACCCCCGTTTCAAACTAGATTGTACATGGTTACATGCCCTCATTCCACTCCTTTGATTCTACATGCTTCCATAAAATTTGGAATTTTGTTTAAATTCGGAGCGACGGTCGCCGTACCAAATCCAAACTTTCTTGAAGTTTGGCTGCCACAGAGAATAAGAGTGAACCTAGCTAAGCATCTGTACTGCTCGCTGTACCCGCCTCAGGTTGGAGAATTCCAAATTCGCCCCGGAAATGCAAAATAAATTTTCAAGGGAAGAATGATAACATACACACAAAAAATCATGTGAATGAAGGAAGAAGCCATTTTCTTATAGGCCCACAGACATCGATGGTGCTGTGAAAGACCTGTTTGCAATGCTACAGGATGCTGATGTTCATCTTGTTATCTATGATTTCGGTTCGGGCGCTGACAGTGCCAAATTTAAGCAATACGTTGGGGTCTGGATAGCTTTGACCATTAAATGTAAAACGATGATTAAGGTTATTCCCAACGTCGACTATGTACTTTTCAATAGCGACGAGCCAGACTCATTCTTCCAGAAATATCTGCTGTCGAGTGATGCTAGTGAGTGTTGTTTCCGGAAACTTAAACTAGATGTTTTGGCCGAGTTTTTGCTAAGGTGCCGGCCTTGCATTCTTATCGAAATTTTTCTCCAACCTGGTCGCGTATATTTAAATACAACTTTCCATAACGAAGTATCTTTCCAGATTCTAACTTCGGCTGCTCCGATGGACTCACCCAAACTCTGCAGATTGACCCATCGAACCCATTGACCTATTCCTGGCCACCGTATGTCTGTTTATCGAACTCCTCAGCAAATTTAGGGCCTACGACGTCAAGAAAACACGCTACTGCAACAACCAGAACTCAAAACTAACGCTGCAGGCTGCAGGGGTAGGTAGCGTTTACACGCATTCACATCAACTTTCCGCTTTCACACAAAAAAAAACCCGTGGAAATATTAGTCCCAAACCCATTTAAGTATCATATAAACTTACTCATTATTATAGAAGGCTGCTATTTGCATTTCGATCGTCGACGACTATGAACTGGAGACGGATAAAGATTTTGTGAAATTTGTAGATGGCCAAGGAAATCTGCGTGTTAGGTAAGTATGCCTAGGTTGTTTCCGAAATGTTCCTTTCAGTCTTACCGGAATGGGTGTCTCCGGCTCCAAATTCCGACTGACAGGCGCTTCGACAACGATCACATTCACCAGCAACGAATACAACGTGTTCCACGGGATCAAATTCACTGCTACGTCTACCGACACGGACACTTGTCCCTAAGCCACGGCTTTGAGCCAGTTTTCGACTTACATAAACAATAAATTTTGAAATTGCGAAGGCCTTAATGCGAAAGCGACGCAACACAGAATATTTCTACGTAGCGTTCGATTGAGATTAAGGAATCTGATTTTTTTAGCCTTTGAATTAGCTACCGATTATCTTTATGGACGTTTGTCAAACTGGCCTTGGGGAAATCTTTGAATTGCACTCGAGGCCCACGTCTACAATGGAAAATGGCGGACAGCAACGACTTTGCATCTCTGTAGTACATACGCTTAATGGTGCCTGCGCATATGCTTAATGGTGCCTGCGGCACCATTATCTGCCCCGCCTCTCAAGCGGGTCATCCCCTCGATTCCCGAAATCAGTGAGTCGAGCCCGAGACTCAGATTCCCCCCTTCCCCCCTGACCCCTTCCCTGTCCCTCCTTAAGCTAAGCTAACTCGAAGCCCCACGGGAGACCGGAGGTCCTCTCGGGCCGACGGGATTCCGTCCCCTTTCTGATGCTTTATAAATTCTAAGAATCATATTTGTTAGGGTCTGTATCCGCGCCGGCCGACTTCCTTTCTCGGCCTCTATCCCGTCCCCAGTTTTTATATGACAGTTTAAGTTACTCTAATAAACCCCTCATAACAAGTCCGTGGGTAACAAATACACTTTATACATTAAGACCTTCTCATGAGTTTCCCCCTAGTCAAAAGAGTGTCAACGTCACAAATCCGTAGCATTAATCATAGTTCGTATCTGGGACATTTCATAGAACAACCTATGGCGCGGAGCCAGTTAAGTTAGGATAAGGGTTCCTAACTAGAAGAGTAGTAACAGCCCCAACATGGGAAGATCGTAACTGGTGTGTGTCTCTGGCATAGAGCCCGACCCACTCAGTTATGACAATGGAGGTCCCGGCTTTTGACTCTTAGTTTCTGGGTTCAGCCTGCGCTGCCTCCAAGCGCTGACGCTTTCAAATAGCGTTTACACCCAATAAATTTAAAATATACAAAATTTCTGTTACTGCTCTTACCCTACCCATTCCCCCTTTTTAGGATCCGGAAGTGGTTTTAATTAATTACGATAAGGCAGGCCTGCCGCAGACTCCGACTGATGTTAGCCACATCAGCATTTTAAGTTACAATAGGAAAACACTCGGCTACGTTAGTCTCAAATCGCTGCGTAGTTTATAAACCGGTCATTGACGGAGTCTGCTTTTAAGGGAGTTGACCGCTCCATATTTGGGAAACGCCACGAAGGCCGGGGAGTCGTCGTATTTACGTTAATCTAAAGGACACAGGCAGGACGTAGCGTATCCGGTCCTGCTTCATTCATTTATTCATTCATTAATTGTTTTCGAGAAGGCACTAACACCAGATATAGGTTGTCCAACAAATTGTTGAGACTGGTGTTCAAGACAACGGCTTTTGCCGGCTTACCTACATAGGGTCGCCGTCCTTCCAAGGCGGTTCGAATTAACTCTAGTGTAAGGTAAATGACTTTACTGAGCTCCTTTTGACCGTAGAATTCACGCAGGCTTGGAATGCCGCACTTTTCCTCTAAAACTTGAGCTCCTTCGACTACCCCATGGTTAGGCCTACCGGATCAGAAAGGAAACCACCTAGAAATACCCTCCAATTTTATTTACCATCTTAATTTAATTTTTTTTCGTTCCCCATAATCTGATACAATCCCCATATTCACTAATTCCATTTAATATATTCTATCCTATAAATTCGCGCGCATATTGTTTTGAATTTTTGTAAGCCCAAGTCAAGTCAAAGACCAAGGACACTCCCAAACTCCCGCCCGATCTCTGGCTAGCAGAACTAGGACAATGCCTCGGGTTAAGAATTTAGGGGGACGCCTCGATAATTCCCAAACTTGGCCATCTGCCAATGCCGCGGCGCGAAATGAGCGGGGATATGCTGATCTGTGACCTAGTTTAAGCACTAAATGTGACCAGAGGGCATTGCATTACCCAAAAGCATAGTTGGCGCTTAAACTTGACCTACCATCACCACCCCACGAAGAGGATCTGCCGTCGGCCAACGGCTAGAACCTCAGTTCAGCTCAACTGCCCAACGCACCGAGATATTCCGTCAACTGCCGCGCCACCGACAACAGTCAACTTCTGGATCAGGCCGGTTTAAAGGGAGAAAGTTTTGACCCCGGCGTTTCAGAGACAAAGGGGCTTAGCTTTTTGTTCTTGTGCTTGTACCTATAACGCAAATTTTATTTCGTTCATCGCGCTTTATCCCAAATTTTCGTTCGCCTAAATCTGTATTCAGTTCGCCGCATTTAGGCTAGTGTCGCATCGCTAGCCCTCCAGATTATCCTCCGAGCAGCGCAAAGCAAGGAGAAGACGCATTTTTTTCATAAGCGTAGCCTTTAAATTCGTACTTTCCAACCCTTGAGTTCTGGAAAAGTAGCTAAGCCAGCGCGTTTGTATTTTATTTACGGTCACTTCTATTTTTTTTGCTTATTCCCCAAACTAGCTGGGTAAATTGGATTAAATCTCCAAACAATCCAGCCTTACACAAACACAAACATTGTACCAGCTCTCTTCCGGAAAAAATCTCCAACGTGGCTCTCAACGCAAGGCCAAGACGTGAAGACATGGAGGACGAAAGATCCCCAAAAGAAATCCGGCGAGAAGTACGAGATCTGGTCGGCCTCAATATTACATACAGTGGACACGACGAGCCGCTGACTACGTTCCTAAGAAGACTGTTCGACACAGCTATTACAATGGGAATCTCCATTACCGTCGTCAAAAAAGGCTTTCCTCTACTACTCCGCGGAGAAGCCAAAGCATTTCATCAACTTATGGACCAGGAAACACGGGACAATTATGCAGAGATAATAAGGACACTATCCTCTGTTTTCAATACCTCAAAAGTGGGACTCGATCTACAAAAAGCACTCCACCTCCGCCGACAAGGACCAAACGAAAGTCTCGCCGAGTTTATCGTGCATATCAAACAGAACGCGGAGCTACTCAATCCGGACACACTAGACAGTGAGCTACGCAATGCACTGCTTGAACGAACATGGCCGGAAATCTCGAAAGCCCTTGGAAAACTACAGTTCCAAAGGCTGAACACTGTACAACTTTTCGAAGCAGCAAAAAAAGCTGAAGTCAAAGCAAAAACAAAGAAAGAAGAAAAAGCACAGGAGCAAGGCATTGAAGAACTCATAGCAAGTATCTCAATCGAGCCGACCGTGCAGCAAAGGGAACCTGCATGGAACAGTCAAAACAACCAGAATGACTTTGACTACGAAGATGACGACCAATACAGTCAAAACTACCAAAACCACAACTACAACAATCCGCCTCCACCAAATCAACGTTATGACCAGCCACAGCAACAATATCAAATCCCTATCAAATCAAATCCCCTATCAAATCCCTACTGCGGTACACATTGTTGTCCCTACTTTCTTTTCTATCTCTTACTCCACTGTTGCCTTAATCGGTACACACAGGGCCCTTACTTCATTACTGGTGGTGAAATTGACTGGCCAAGATTGACACCACTTCGAAACACTCCCGCTGAGCACTTACGTAGCGCACCGTACTCCGGGCGTACGTCCAAACCGCAGCCGGCTCCGCCCTCAGTTATGTGCACGGTTTGGTAGGGAGTTGGAGTGTCGGATTCAGATCCGTGTCTATATCTATCCGCATCTAATTCTCAAACCATTGGACTGGGTAGCCCTGCCCCCACACCATCTGACTTCACCATTTTCGTTTTTTACCTCTTGACCCCCATCGTTTGTTATCTTACTCTTACCCCCAACCTTCTTAAAGTTGCGGGACGCAACTTAGTTGGGCCAGGGACATGTAGTACATACGCTTAATGGTGCCTGCGCATATGCTTAATGGTGCCTGCGGCACCATTATCTGCCCCGCCTCTCAAGCGGGTCATCCCCTCGATTCCCGAAATCAGTGAGTCGAGCCCGAGACTCAGATTCCCCCTTCCCCCTGACCTTCCTGTCCCTCCTTAAGCTAAGCTAACTCGAAGCCCCACGGGAGACCGGAGGTCCTCTCGGGCCGACGGGATTCCGTCCCCTTTCTGATGCTTTATAAATTCTAAGAATCATATTTGTTAGGGTCTGTATCCGCGCCGGCCGACTTCCTTTCTCGGCCTCTATCCCGTCCCCAGTTTTTATATGACAGTTTAAGTTACTCTAATAAACCCTCATAACAAGTCCGTGGGTAACAAATACACTTTATACATTAAGACCTTCTCATGAGTTTCCCCCCTAGTCAAAAGAGTGTCAACGTCACAAATCCGTAGCATTAATCATAGTTCGTATCTGGGACATTTCATAGAACAACCTATGGCGCGGAGCCAGTTAAGTTAGGATAAGGGTTCCTAACTAGAAGAGTAGTAACAGCCCCAACATGGGAAGATCGTAACTGGTGTGTGTCTCTGGCATAGAGCCCGACCCACTCAGTTATGACAATGGCTGGTGTGTCTGAGAAACGAGCTGCAGTACTGAACGGTTTACGGAAATCGGCGAGTTCCGTCAATAACCCATTCGGTCTGCTACGTATCATGCTAGCATCAACAAGCGCAAGCCCTAAAGGGGCCATTCATTTGCGCCTGGCAGCTATGCGCGCCTCGGGCGCCCCTATTTCAAAACCGTGTACGGGCTCGCGCCCATCCGAAACGACTAGGCCACGGGCGGCACGAAGCCTTGTTCTAGTCGCAGAGCGGAAGAAGTAGCGACCACCACTATAAAGTGTCATCTTAAAAGAGAGTATCTGAAAGTTAGCGATAGACTACGGCTAATTTGACGCACCGATGATCTCTATAACATGGCACTCCGCAAAAGAATGGAACATAGGCGATTTGCCGCACTAACAAATTTTCCGGATTTTGAGGCACTGCCTATCGGGCGCGAATCCACCTCGGATTAAAAGATGTGGAAAAATTCAGCATCTACTGATGTGTCTTGATTCAGGCAGTGGATTGGACAAGACCACAAAACACCTCAATCCCTCTGCTGCCATTGGTGTTTTGCTCTGCTTAATGCCATCATCCCGCCGACGGCTGCCCCCCGGAACAATTTCATCTGATAACATCCATCAGCGGGTGAATTGAAACGTCATCTTAATTGAGAACTCTTACGATTCCGATCACACTGGCTCACTTACAAAGATAACGCATAGTGATTTTTGCTCGCTGCAGTTGGGTCCGGCCGACGCCCAATTCATCCAAAGGTCTTTTGGGTATTTCTGGCTCAGAGAACATTTGGCGGCTGTTTGCTCAGTTATTCGTTATTTCATTGTTGGTTTATCTGCTATAAATATCTCTCGTTCTTTCCCGATCTTTGAGAACTTCAAACATAATGTTTTTGTACCAGGCCAGCTAGCGCGTTGCGATGATCGTGCGGACGACGTTGTTGTTCGTTGGACTTGGTATGTGGACCTAGAAATCCGCAATCCAACCTTGTTCAGCTTCTTTGGCGTCATCAACATGCATCTGCTCTTGGAATTACACGAAAAGCTATCCTACTTTCGTCATTCAAAGTGCCTACGACAACAATGACTACAACAATTGTGAACCGCAGACACCGAACCAATGCACTGTCGTCATCAATCAAAACGATGGTTCGAAGGGTGTCGGGGTGGGAAAACTGTTTCGGTTAATAGTAAAAAAGTCCTAACTTACAAGGAAACCTCCCCAGCTCGAAGTTGGACTTCGATTAGCCATATAGCCTATCTGATGCAGTTTTTCACGCTGATAACGATACCGCTATTTATTTTTGCCGAGCGCCACAGGAACATAGTTAAAAATCGATTTAAAGTTTTGCCACGTTTGGCGGCCCCACCTCAAAGCCCCTCCCCAGAGGATAGGATCCATCGGTGGCATGGTGTAGTCGGCAAGTGCTTGGCCTATCAATCAAGGGGTCGTTAGTTCGGGTCTTGCCGCTGGCGACTTTTTTGCTTTTTGCTTCAGAAGTGCTGTGAAGGTCCTACAAGTCATCAAGAAAAATATTTTTAAGTTTTTTGCACTTTTGGTCACTAATTCATTTATTTATGACTACAACCAATCATAGGTTTCGCTACGATTATCATGAATTTCATATCGATCTCCTTACCTTGGTGCAAAAATAAAGCTCGAAATAACAAATGTAAAAAAAGGTAAAGCCAGAACCTAGTCTTTCTCTCCCCTTTTTTCAGAAATTTCAAAAGCTTTGCTGGTGAACTACAAAGTTGGTGATTCACCGGACCGTTAATCCCAACTGTCTTCGACTAAAAAACGGTCCTTCAAAATCGAACCGATCAACTTGAATTAGTGACCAAAGGTGCAAAAAACTTAAAAATATTTTTCTTAATGACTTATAGGACCTTCACAGCACTTCTAACTAACGACCCCTTGATTGATAGGCCAAGCACTTGCCGACTACACCATGCCACCGATGGATCCTATCCTCTGGGGAGGGGCTTTGAGGTGGGGCCGCCAAACGTGGCAAAACTTTAAATCGATTTTTAACTATGTTCCTGTGGCGCTCGGCAAAAATAAATAGCGGTATCGTTATCAGCGTGAAAAACTGCATCAGATAGGCTATATGGCTAATCGAAGTCCAACTTCGAGCTGGGGAGGTTTCCTTGTTAGGGGTTCGTCGTCACGGAGTTTGATGTGGGAAGTGGCGATTCTTTCACTGTAGTGATCAAAGATGGAGATCAAACCGTTTTTACGTGAGTTGCCTCCCGCTAATTAGCCTCTTCTTGAGTTCCCCTTGGATAGAAAAACACCTCACGAGAAACATTATTTCTAGAAACCCCCGTGCTATTTTAATCATGCCCGCCATTTTAATCCGCAAAATTGAACGCGTATTTGCAAAAAATAAGCACGGTGTTTCCTTGAGGTCGTAATAGCATTTGTTTACCCGGAAGCAAACAGCCAGTCGATTTTCTATGTACTTCCTCGAGCCCACCTGTTTATTTCTACGCTATTACAGACTCTCGCGGTCCAACTACGCCAATTACAAGGAGCAACTGGCCCTCTATGCCAGCTTCAATCCAGTTGTCACCATCCTTCTCCAATATTATGGCGACAAGGATGGTAAGATCTTTTAGAAAATTTTCCATTTTCAGCATGGCTGGATACGGATTTGTTATCTTGATTTTCCGGCATTTACACTAAATCTTGAATTTTTTCAGTGATATTCAATATGTATGCGTATCCCCGCAGCATTACAACCCTGCCGACAGCGCCTACGGTATGGATCCGGATGCGATCATGTATGAAGATTTAGACCCCGACACCGCCTCCGACGGGCGGCACGGCTGGTCTTTTGGGCGTCGATCTGGCCTTTGCATTCGATTCGACTGGCACTGATCAGACTGTCTTTAACACGGTTTGTTCATGTATTCCAGCGCGCTTAAAAAATATTTACGGTTCCCGAAAGAAAATCATAAAAACGATGCTCCTTTGTTGTGAGACCCTAGAGGCGGCGTTTACCACTCGAGTATCAGTACGCTAGCAAGGAGAAGCTCCTTAGAGCCAATCTACGGCACCACGCCTTCTCGAGCTGAAATTTACGCCGATTCCAAACCTGTTTTCCAAATCTAAAAAATCCCTCTCAAAAGGCTCAAATTGTGCCAATTTCGGCAGTTTTTTTTGCCTTATCGCTGCATATGTCGTTGCATCTGAACCTTTTCCAGCTTTTGAAGCCAGGCTCGAAATAAACACAAAATTCTGCACAAGATAGGCTTGGTCGCGCACGAAAACTAGATCACTAAAAAAGCCAATTTCAGATGAAAAAGGTCATGAAAGATACAGTCAACCAACTGACGGTTGTGGAAGATGTTAATCAACCGTACGGCGCTCGCCTTTCACTCCAATCTATTTCTTCCTCCAATGCAGCCAACAACCTGGCGGTGCCATGGCAAGTTAATTTTTTATTGTCGTCGACTATTTCACGTTACAGGGCCGTCACAAAGGAAGAATTTCTTCAACTCGTCGACGTCATACCGACGCGAAACAAAAAATCGTTTTACCTCTAGTAAGACTCTCGGAAACAACGGTGCATTTGATTTAGTCCGTTTGAAGCCTTTCTCGAAAACAGAGGGTATTTCTCGCCGGTAACTGTCGATGGGGCCAATTCTCGTACCAACGTCCAGCGTATTTATGCCATCTTCACGCAACACGAGTAATATTTTGGCTTTATTACAATAATTTCCGTAAAAATACCGTTTTCTGCATCGTTAGTTTTATATGAAGAGTTTTTACCAAATCCAGAACGTGTCACCGATTCTCAAAGTTTTGAAATTTTTTTATCATTTGCTAATGTTTTTGCGAAACGCGCGGATTTTCTGATGTTTCTCTGACAAAGGGGTTTCTTACAGAATCCGCAATTTAAGAATTTTTACGCCTTTCCTGGCAGCCCAACGACAAGGACCGGGACAGGACACCCCTGTAGTTATAGGATTTTGAAATCCACAAAAAATTCGGGTCACCCTTGGCAGGAATACGAATGTCACTAAAAACTGTCTCAGCTGGCTATTGCCTTTAACTTAAATCTCCATTTTAGGCCTGATGATAACCTACCAGATCTCAATATGACACTTACATATCTAAAGGATCGAGATGTCCATCTCGTGGTCCATTGGGTTGGCCCGAAACCGTCGAATGTCTTTAAATATTTGTCATCAACGTACCCGAATTTTGCCTACCTTGATTATGACCCTGCAAATCCCATGCAACTGTACAATAACTACATCTTGAACGGCGATTCTGGTGCGGGAAATTGCAAATTACAGCCCATGGACTACCATTTTAGATGCCAAATTTGGTTGTTCGAATGGCAAGACGTCGGCAGTTGATACTTTCGATCAAGCCGGGATGTGGCCACCGTGAGCTGGATAATAAAGTTTTCATCTATCTTTAGAAACTACTTCCCGGGGTACATAAATTATTGCAACAATCAAGATGTCGTTTTGCAGTTTACTGACGTTGCGGTGGGTTAAAAAAGCAGTTGTAAATCGTTGGGCACCCCGCTAGCACTTTAAAAATTTCTTTCACGTATTTTATCGGGTTTCTTATTAAGCCAGTTGCTTCAGAGAAGCAAGTCGTTGCTAGAAAAAAGGATAAAAAGTGAGGGTCGGCGCAAATTATTGCAAAACCTTTCAAAATAAATAATCCACCACGGTGTGCATTTGCTTGTGTGTAGAAACTTGCAATCATAGCGTCGAAATTTATAGTTGCGAAATTCATAAAGTCGAAATGTAATAGTTTCGAAATTTCATAATGCCGAAATTTCATAGTGGCGAAATTTCATTCTCCGTATTTTTCGCATAGGATTTGGGAGTATGACCGGAAAAGTTCGGCATTATGTAATTTTCACATTATCATTTTCGACATTTTGGAAGTAACTCAGTGGAACACAGACGGTCTAGATTGGTACGACAGCGCTATGCATCTCCGTCGAAAACTACCAGTTGGAGCTCGAGAAGGACTATGTGAGGTTCTACGATGGCGCCGGGGTGGAGGTCGCCTTGTAAGTTTTTTACATCCGATCAGTCTTATGCATCGTTTTCGAGCCTCACAGCTTCCCGGCCTTAGCAAAGTTGATCCCAAGCATTTTCAGTTTGACCGGCAACAACGTTTTTGGCGCGCAATTCCAAATAAACGGCACCGCCGGCTCAGCCAGGCTGACGACAAAATGAATACCTTGTCTACAGCGGGATCAGATTCGGAGTGCGGGCAATCAGCGATGAGCCGCCTCAATGCAACCTGCCATGAACACGCTGAAGACGATTTAAATCGGGAATTAAAAAGGATCCTTTTCAGTAATATGCCATCATTTTTACCTGATTTTTATCAGTACAGTATTTTTACTTTTTGATTTTTTAATTTTTCGATTTTATTGATTAATCGTTTATTGCAATCATCAACACATTAGAAAATATGCATCAATTTCTAAAAAAAGCTTACCAAATCCTGGTAGTCGTTTCCTAAACGCTGTGCCATCGGCCGACGATTATAAACTTTATATTTAAACGATTTCCGACAGTAAAACGTTATGAAACAAAGAGATTGCCAATGTTTTATCAGAGGCGCTGGTCAAGCTGGCTTTGGGAGATCGTCGAATTGCACTGGGGGCACACGTGGACAAAGGAGAATGGCGGGCAGCAACGGCGTTGCACGTCGGTGATCACCCGTGTCTGAAAACAATTAATTTGACGCGCAAACGTTTCGTCGTAACAGCTTTTCTCCCAAATTCCGAATTAGTGATCGTCGATAAATAGGAAAATCCGGTTAAAGTCAATTTTCCGTGGCACGAATAGGACTTTAAACTCACATTGCATATTGGGCAAGTCAATTGCGTGGGGCTACGCGTCGATACGGAGATTGGGGGCGGACGTGGCCGCGCTGGAGGCTTCGGCTCCTCCGTTATTACCGGGGTAGACATGCCGTCGGCATCTGGAAAGAAATATAAATTTTCGAAACGGAAGAATTACAGGAGATGAAAAATTACTGGCAAGCGAGAATCGATAAAACCTTGCGTAAACCAGCTCAAAAGGGAATTTCAAGGTCTGTGAAATACACAAGATTAAACTGAATTGACACTAACACATGCTGTCCCATAACACAAAATTTTTGCATCTAAAAACGTTACCATTCGATGAATTCATTTCTGCCTGACTAGCGAATTTTCAGGGAGCCAAATACTAAAACCGTACCAAAATTTGCGCTCCCCATTGCGCTTCTACTCGATGCGTGTCAGAATTTCAATGAGAACAATGAGGCGGAATAAAAAGAATAAATAATTTACAGTCCATCCCTTCATCAGGCGACCCCTTGTTTTTCTACGAAAATAAACACGACGAATCATACCAAAGTGCCCGGTTGAATAATGGCGTCGCAGGCAAAATAATTTCATTCTTGTTTTAGCTTGTTAAATAGCGTTGTCAGTTTTTTGGGCAAAGTCTAGGTTGGGGCTTCAAACGGAGGCAAGAACCGCAAGGAAATGATCGTGCTCATTTTAGCCCAAGTATAAGGTTATAAAAGGCCGTTTGCGAGAGGACCGAACAAGGCTTGGCACAGTTTTTTCCGAGCCTGTTTTTGACGGCATCGGAAAGAGCATAGTCGATTAGTAGAGCTGCATAGTTTTAAAGTTTAAAAAGTCAATTTTAGGTTTCAATTGAGTCAAAGCTGCTGACCCTCAAAATTATCTCGAAAGTTACTGGACCAAATTGGTCGAAGATTTGTCACAATACCTAATTTGGGATGCTGATCATTTCTCTAATACATCCAAAAGCACGAAAATGAGCGGAACATGGTTAAATCGCGTACCCAAAACAGTTTTTCAGGCTTTTGTATTTTACGGGTTCTTGCGGTCCGTTGTAAATAACCTTAAAAGATGCGCAAAAAATTCTACATCGAATGAGGTATTTTATATCAGCCGACAGAAACCCTACTCTTGCTATAAAGCATTTATTGCAGCGCAAAACAGCTCATCAAAATGGGTCGAAACCTCAAAATGACCAATTTTAAAATCGGATATATCAAACGGATCTAGAGAACGGGGGGACTATTGTGCAAAGAGCAAAAAGAAATATTGCTTTTGAAGGGGGCTAGGATCCGGGAGGAATCGAACTCGACCCTTTCGCCTGGAAGCCCCCCCCCTGGGGCCGTGGTGGATTGCAGGAGTGCTCGCCTACCAATCTAAGGGCCGCGCCAGTTCGATCCCAGCCCCCCTTCAAAAGCAATATTTCTTTTTGCTCTTTTTTGCAATAGACTCAGCCTGTTCTTCTAGATATGGTTTGATATATCCGATTTTAAAATTGGTCTTATTTGAGGTTTTCTGACCCATTTTGGGGAGCTGTTTTGCGCGCAGTAAATGCTTTATAGCAAGAGTAGGGTTTCGGACGGCTCCGATATGAAATTTTTTATTCGGTGTAGAATTTTTTTGCGCATCTTTTAAGGTTATTTACAACGGACCGCCAAGAACCCGTAAAATACAAAAGCCTGAAAAACTGTTTTGGGTACGCGATTTAACCATGTTCCGCTCATTTTCGTGCTTTTGGATGTATTAGAGAAATGATCAGCATCCCAAATTAGGTAGTTGCACAAAATCTTCGACCAAAGGGGTTCAGTAACTTTCGAGATAATTTTTGAGGGTCGGCAACTTTGACTCCAATTTAAACCCTAAAAATTAACTTTTTAAACTTTTAAAACTATGCAGCTCTACTAATTCGACTATGCTCTTTCCGATGCCGTCAAAAAAACAGGCTCGGAAAAAACTGTGCCAAGCCATATTAGGGTCTGTTCGGGTGGCTCGCGGACGGCCTTATAAAACCGATTTCGGCTAATGAAATACAGTAATCGCGAAATCAACAACAATTTAAAAAAATAAAAAATGACGCTATCGATCAAATAAATTAGCAGCCCCTTAACTTACACAACCAAAACTGTGAAAAATGAGATCTACGGAAGAAGCTCAAATGCAATGAAAAGACCTAAAAGCCAAGAAATGAATCTAGAATAGCGTGGAGGGAGGATTCGTTAAGATCACGTTCTGAAATTGTTTTCAGCAAGAAAATTCTCACATCACGCGGTGGGCTAAAAGCACTATTTTCTTGGCAAAAGATCTGGTCGCAAATCTCAGAAAAAAGCGCCTAAAAAAAGTTAGTGAGAACCCTCGGTGACCAAAACAGGCAGAGGTGAAAAAAATAGCAAATGCACAGGAACAATCACAAGATCGCGGGACTGTAATAAAGACACTCGAAAACCGAAAAAAAGAAGATAAAACCTTATAGAAACTTTTACACAAAAACTCTCCTAGGTAATTCTTAAAAAATGAAACGAACAGCAAGGGAAGAAAGAGAGCAATATAACTCCATTACCACGCAAAACGGATCAAAAAGTAGCAGAAAATGATAAGTAAACAGTAAAGATCAGGAAAGTCCATAGGAAGTGAAAAGCCAGCATAATCAGTTCTGATAGAACAAAGGCCAAAACGCCAAAAAGCCTGGTCTCTGGGTGTGTGTGTGTGCGCGCAGATGCGGGGTGTTCATTTTTGCATGGCAGTGCCAATCGAAAACTGGGAGGGAAGAGGGAGAGGCAAAAAAAGCGCGCCACTGATCGATCTATCGGTGGAAGGGGAGAGGGAAGTTGTGAGGGATTTCGGAATATTCTCAGCGAGAGGGACTGCGACCTGACATAGGATTTTTCTTCGGCTAGAAAATGGTTGCTTACCCTTTCCCGCCGAAAAGGCTAACTGTGGTTGCTGTTTGTCCATCTGCACGCTCCTACGACTCTCATGAGTGCGCTTTAAAATGATACGGGAGAAACAGTGAAATCTGGGCAAAATTCGAAGAGTCTGCTCGCCCGGTTCTTTAAAGAAACAATCGTCTTTATAGTTCCAATTAAAATCACCCTATAGCATCATGATCGCTCTGCAAAAACAGGCTTCTGGGTAGTATTTCGGGAGATCCTTTTCCTGCTCATGCAATGTTGATAGAATCTCCAGCCCGCCTTATCGTAATGCTGCGGTAACTGAGGTCTTCTGGTACCCTCTTGGGATCGAAGTGGAAATTCCGTACGGGAGATATCACATTTGTGCAGACTTTGCCGATTCTGGATCTGTTTTCTAAGTTGTGGAACCCTCAGATTGTGTAGCATAGCTGCGTTTTAATACTCCAAATGTCATTAAATCCGCTTACTTTAAAACGTTCTAAAAATTCCGGTAAAACACTTTGCGGAGAGTAGTAGCCATTTTCCTGAGTAAAAACGTGCTCTTTCGAACGGGCCATCTCACAAACCCGTAGCTCGAAATTTTGAAAATTTCGAAAAGCGACCATCTTGGGCAAGGGTCCGCCAAAAAAAAAGTTTTTTTTGCAAATTTTGAGCTACGGATTCGTGAGGTAGCCCATTCGAAAGAGCACGTTTTTTTACCCCGGAAAATGTCTTACGTTTCTCGCAAAAGTATCTTACGGAATTTTTAGAACATTTTAAAGTAAGCGATTTGTGGCATTTTGGGTATTAAAACGCTTAAAATCTCTTTAATCTGAGGGGTTCTGGCAACTTTTGAAAACGGATTCAGAATCAGCAAAAAAAATTTACTCAAGATGTGCTATCTTACGTACGGAATTTCCACTTCGACCAAAAGAGGGTTACAGTTAGGACTTCGAAGATACATGCTTTAATGCATTGCACTGGTCATGCATTACGCATGACCAGGAAATTTT